CATAGTTGCGGCTTGAAATCAGCATACGAAGCTTGTACTCAATTTCATATTCGACTTAATTTAGTTGAAGAATATATATCTTAGCATTGGTAAAGATTCGAAAGTTATTTAATGCATTGAGGATTTAATGTTTTCATGTCTCGATGCTTTTAATAGTAACAATGACAACCACGAGATAACAAAAAATATATTAGTTATACGGCATGTGCAACGTAGTAATAGTTATGGTTAAATACACGTGACACTTGACAAACGTCAGGCACGTATTCGTGTTTATAGCCTAATCAACTCCTCGCCCTACACATTCTAAGGGAACCCGAAAAATACATCCGATGAGAATACAAGTGCCTCAAAGAACATTGCACGAACTGGAACAAACGCTAAATGTTGAATCATCAAATAAACAATTTCACCTGCAGACGATAAAAACATATTTTGACAAATCATGTTAGTTCACGCGCTGTTAAAACTGATCAACGTGGTGAGTTGTATTCAGAATCGTCCAATAAAACGAATCTATGCCAAAGTGGTTTGTGAAGAGATCAACTTCAAACCAGTTATGTGCATTATGAAATTCTACGCATAATAAAGGTTTTTTGGGTTAGATCGCGTAAATATGTGTCGTTAAAACCCGCCACCACCCGACACAGCCAACTCGTAAGGGTTGTCACGTAAACAGAACGTGCCAATGTGTCACTAGTACAGCACACCCGTGTGTTGGAGAGCCAAGCCACAACATTTACAATCTGAGTACGGCGTTTCGCCAGTAATTACAACTAGCTTCATCAGGCGACAGCCAGATATGTGGAGAAGTCCACCTGTTTCGTTCCTTGTATAGAGGCGTAGATGTGGTGACCACGCTTCTGCGCTCTTGCGCAAAGTGGGGGGGGGGGGGGGGGTTACTGAAGTCAACGTACATGATGCATGTGCATTAATGCGAGCCCTTTGATCTTGTCCTTCCTGTCTGTTGTATTAAAATAGCCGTAGCAACGGTAATCTCTATTGAAGTATGCTGCCCTTGATCGGCATGCATTTAAATAATATTTTTATTTGATGATTCGATTCCACGCAGCACTAAGGCGGTAGCTATCTGAACGAATTTTTTATTTCTTTAAATTTCGATAGATTCTCGAATTAGTCTTGGCCAGTAGTTGCTAGTTTTGCACAGAACTTCAACATTATCCAAATCATTGTGTCCTTGTTGGCATGCGTGTTCTGCTACTGCTGACAGTTGTATTTGGGAGAATTTAATATTTATTTGAAGTTATTTTAGTCTCGTGCTGATCATTCGTCCTGTTTGTCCAACATAACATTTACCACACGTGCAGTGAATCCTGTACACACCTTCTGCTGATAGCTTCGTTAATACATCTTTTGCGCCAGATATTAATTTCTGTATTTTATGTACCGTACCAAATCTGACTCGGATGTTTTGTTTTTCCAAACATCTGGCTAGTTTATCAGTTACTTCCGCAATGTACGGTATTTTGATCGTTTTAATTACTTGGGCAGTCTCAATGCTCGTGTTATTTGATTTGGTTTTGGCATTCAATGCCATGTTGATTTGTGAATCATTCTAACCGTTTATTTACAGCGCTTCTTTAACATGTTGAATTTCAAACATAATTTTAAAGAACCAAAGAGTAATGTTGATTTTCACTTCTCAGACTATCACCATCTGACACTTTCTTAGCTCGACGAATGAGCGTCTTGATAAGAGCAGATTTCTGTGCGGGCTGATGATGTGACTCTCCATTCAGATAGGCGTCAGTGTGCGTTTTCTTTCGGTAAACGCTGTGTGTTGTTTTACCATTTCCACCCCGTCCGAGCAGAATATCCAGAAATGGTATAGTTATGTTAGCTTCCACTTCCATGGTGAACTGGATGGATGGTTTTGCGAGTTGAGATTATTTAGAAATGCGTTAAGTGTATCTTTGCAGTGTGGCCAGATCACTAATGTATCATCCACACATCTAAACCAAACAGATGGTTTTAATGTGCTTGAAGCCATTGCTTTTGCTTCAAAATCTTTAATACACACAATAGACAGGAAGGACAAGATCAAAGGGCTCGCATTAATGCACATGCATAATGTACGTTGACTCAGTGATCCCCCCCCCCCACTTTGCGCAAGAGCGCAGAAGCGTGGTCACCACATCTACGCCTCTATATAAGGAACGAAACAGATGGACTTCTCCACAAATCTAGCTGTCACCTGATGAAGCTAGTTGTAATTACTGGCGAAACGTCGTACTCCGTTTGTAAATGTTGTGGCTTGGCTCTCCAACACACAACCGGTGTGCTGTACTAGTATACTACACTATACACTACACTATACACTAGTGCTGTACAGGTGACGAATTGGCCACGTTCTGTTTACGTGACAACCCTTACTAGTTGGCTGTCAGGTGGTGGCGGGTTTTAACGACACATTTATATATTTACGCGATCTAACCCAAAAAAACCTCTTACTGATATTGGTCGCGATGAGCAGACTCCGTGTTCAATTCTATTCAGTGTCTGAACTTCACGACTGATAAGAGCGGAACTCGAAAAAGCTGAACTCCGACAGCAAAGGGTTCAACAAGTCACCATGAGGGGGCTCTGTTGCTATTCGTTTTGGAAATCTGTTTGAAGATCAATATAATTGATAACTCGATCCCGTTCAGACTTTCAGATATTGAATGCGTGGTGTTTAGTGAAATTCACCCTGGTGCTGTGTACTGTACCGTCAGCGAATGGAAGTTATTTGCTGTGGTGCGATCCTGAGCAACACAGCACCTGATCGTGTGGCCAATTTAACATTGCTTCGTTTTAACCACATCCGTTGGTTTCATTGCAAGAGCAGTCGTTAATATAACCATGAATGGTCTCCAACAGGAAAATACATTTATATTTTAACAATCTAGCTTTAACAAAATAGACAATGTTTCTTTTAGATGTTTATGATTTAATCAAATGAAGCTTGCACTTTATTCATATTTGAACATGTTATTTTTGCGTGGCACTTAAACATGTACTTCCGGTTTGAGACACCAACACTGGCTCACGAGGTAAATTGTTGCTATGTATCATAAGGTAAGCAAACTAAAGATTGACTATTTTCTTTCTGATGACGAACGCTTGTGTTGCGATCGAAACGTCGTAGTTTTAAAAATTATTTTTTTGTTATTTTCTTTGAACCTATCTACGTGACTTTACCGAAAGACCCAAACAATTACATACTCTTTGGTTCTTCGGTAAAGTCACGTGGGTAGAAATAAAATAAATCACGTTTCGATCACAACACAAGCGATCTTCACCAGGTGGGACAACCACAGAAGAAAATGCTGAAGTGGGCGGGAGAGCTGCCGTGGCAAGAGGTTATGTAGGTAAGAGAGGGGGGAGGAGGCAATGGGGGAGAGAGGGGGGTGTGGGGTAGTGGGGCCACGTGAGCGCTAGGGGAAGAGGACGTGAGGCTGGGGGAGGACACGTGGGCAGGGCTAGCAGTAAACCGGCAGGTAATGATGGAAATAAGTTAAGGCATTACCTGGTTGATAACATCCTTCCAATGATTGTTCTATTTGTATCCATTTTCTCGGTTTAAGTTTTGTCTATGTTTATATATCTGGATGGCTTCATTAACAAACCTTTGATAGTAGCCCAAAGGTTTGCAGAGTACTTTGGTCTCGAAAACAACAATATCATGCGAGCCCACAACGTTATAACAATGGTCAGCTACGGCAGAGGTATTGGTTCTGCCATGTTTCAGATCTGCCTTGTGTTCGCGAACACGGTCCGAGGCATGTCGTTTCGTTTCCTCAATGTAACTGCTACCGCACGTACAACTCAGTTTGTGGACTCCAGGGTATTGCATGTCAGGAATTACCTTCTTCACAGATGGGATTAGATCACGGATTTTATGTACTGTATTGAATCGGACCTGGATCTTGTGTTTAAGATTTTGGAAATATTTTTGGTAACACCTGCTATGTATGGTAAAGTGATGGTTTTGATTGGATTCTCAGGAGATTGTTTCTCCATGGTTGGAGAAACAACTTTCCGAATAATGCGGTCCGAGTAACCATTCATCTTAAGGGCCTGGTGTACGTGTTCCAGTTCACTGGCTAGGTGGTGTTGGTCGGAGATGAAGTGGGCCCTATGGTGTAGTGTTTTGATGAGGGAATTCTTCTGTGCCGGATGGTGGTGGGAAGCAGGTTTCAGATAGGAATCTGTGTGGGTGGCTTTCCTGTAGACAGTGTCCCAATGAGCCGTCAGGTCTCTTCTCAAACAGAACATCCAGGAATGGTAGCTTACCATCCTTCTCCACTTCCATGGTTAATTTGATGGATGGGTGTATTGAATTGATGTTTGAGAAATTGGTTCAATGCTGACAGGCCATGTGGCCAAATGACGAAAGTATCATCTACGCATCTCTTCCACAAGGACGTAGGGTGGACTGTCTGGATGGCATGTTTCAACTTTCTCCATTAAAATATTCGCTATCACTGGTGATAAGGGGGAACCCATGGGGGTACCTTCATTATTGCTAAGGTGTCAGGTACAGGAACCTTGGTGAACAGAGAGACTACATCAAAGCTGTCAAGCAAATCATCTGGAGACAGTGAGGTGGCCTTGATTAGAGAGACCAAGTCAGCTGAGTTACGTACTGCTGAGGTATAGTCTTGCCCGTGAATGGAAGCAACATTATTAAAATGTTTCCAAAAAGTCAAGGTGCATACTTCATATATCTCACAAGGTTTAAAAACTGAGATTGATAACTGCAATGTCCACTGGGATGTTGACAGAAAGATAAGTTATTCAAATTTGTGGTGAAAGAAACACAATTGAAACAAATGCCATTTTTTTCTGTTGTCTTCAGGGAAATTACTTTTATGGGCACTTGAGATTGACAAACACTGTCTCGTCAGCAGCTGCAAAGGTTCACGTGCAAATAAAGACTGGTTGTATTTGAAGTCCCCACCTTGTGTATACTTTAATGATTCAGTCACTGTCCCAGATAATTCTTATGAGCATTTATTGTGATTTTTAAGTAACATAAGAATCAGTGTAAGGCATAGGAGATGCACTGCGCCAGGTGGTGTTGCAATGCCCTGACTGCAGGACCACGCGATTATAAATGACACGACCCTCTCTGTTACAGCTATCGTCATTGGGCTTTGGCGGAAGCTGCGGTACTTGCAGTGAGTCACGGTAAAGCTACGACCTCTGATTTATCCCTTAACAAAATGTCTTGCATTGTGTTTCACCAGCTCAACAAGATGTGCTCTGGCCTAATGAATGCAATAAATATCAAATGTTGCGTGGCCTTCAGAAGTATTCCGACATCAATGACCATGAGACATACAGCAATCTGTAGTTTTTGCTATCTGGTAAAATTGACTGCTGAACTTTGATAAAGAAATTAACACTGCATGAATTAACACAGCAACTTTACTGTATTACAAAAAGCCTGAGTGGCATTACATTTTGTATTGTAGCAGAAAGTTAAATATTATTTTTTCCCCTTGGATTTTCCTTTTGGGTTTTTGCTTTGCGATGCCTCTGTGGTCTTTTTGTTTCTATTCTTATTCTTCACATTGTGCGTTTCGTAATATCGCACTCCCACTTTCTTGGACTTCTGGGATCGATCCAGTTTCCGTCTCTATGGAAAAATAAATACGAATTCACACATTGTTACTGTTTGCACATCTAATACACATATACAATTGTCTGAGTGATGGATGTAATTTCAAATGATGATATCTATAAGCTAGAAAACAGATGTTTGTCAATTTTATTTGAGTCTCCTTCAATTGGGAAAACATCTAAAATTAAAACAAAATTTTGGGCCTTCCATAATTTTGGCAAACATTCGTTATTTATAATGTAGGCTTATGAAATTAACTGACATAAGTGAAAATAAAACTGTGACATGAAATTTAATTTTAACACTATGTATAAAAGTATCTCAAAACTTACAAAAAAACCACACTGAAATTAACACTCATCTCAAGAAGACACTTAATAAGTATGGAATACTAAATTTACCTTATAACAATTCTGCTTTCTTTGATCTCTTTATAAAACTAGACATATGCTTTTCAAGCACAGAGGCTGAGTACACAGTTTGTATCGGCCACTTGTTAGAAATAAACTCATTTTCAAACTATTGCACCTCCTACCAAAACTCACAACTTGAAGCTAAACAACCAGAATACGTGGGCTTTTTGCCCCATTTTTTTGCCAATATGGGGGGGGGGGTTATTTGCCAAAAATTGGATGAAAATGAACATTCACCGACTCACAAATCAGGCCCAAAGTGCCTCCAGTCAAATGATTTCTGGGTTATGTGCTTCGACATCAGCAATCGTATATAATGGCAGATGCCAGAAGCCAGTCCCATCCAAAAGATAACCAGAGGCCAATTCTCACAAAGTGGAACTCATTTCACAGCTCTGGAATTATGGACTACATCAATGTCCTATTGGGATTTGAACTGACAGCCTATCTTGTAAACATTTACCATTGTAAATGTTGTGGGTTTACTCTCCAACACACTGGTGCTGTACCAGTAATGAATTGGCATGTTTTATTTACATGACAAACCTTACTAAATGATTGTGTTGGGTGGTGGCAGGTTTGACTATACATTTATATTTACGCGATCTAACCCAAAAATCTCTATTATGGAAAAATGTGGCTATTTGTGGCCAGTGTGAGATTTGTTTTCCCTTGTTCTGTTGAAATGCAATTGCTTTCACTGAGGAATAAAAACCAGAGGCTCCTGACCTTCACATGTGAGCAATTGCAATGGCTTAAGTGCCACAGGCAATGAGCCTGATCAATATTGACACAACCCTAACTGAATATTAGGTCGCTTTAAAAACACCGAAGGCCACGTCTCGCCACCGAAATTTAGATGTGATGGGCCAAACCTGTTTGGAGGTCATCTTGTCCTGCCCCTCATCACTCCACCACTTCTCTGCATCATCATCTCCACCAGGCTTCCCTCTCCGCTTCTTCTTGGCGCTTCTCTCATCCTCCTCGTTGCCTTGAAAGTGAGAAATAAATGCTCAAGATGAACTCAGACTACAACCATAATCTCGACTTCGTTACTCATTAAACGGTGCCTTAGTATTCTTGGGTCTTTCGGTAAAGTCACGCAGATAGGTTCAAAGAAAATAACAATTGCAACCTATCTTCGTGACTTTACCGAAAGACCCAAGAATATGAATTCCTGCAGTCACGTAAGCTTTAAGTCAAGGTGCCTTAGTAGTATAAGCAAAAGCCAAAAAATATAAACACCCTTTATTCAAGAAAGATTAATTGGATTTTAAGATATTTTCAGGATACATTTGACAAATTCGTTTATCAACATGTGTGGAATGAAATTGGGAGTTCCTGGAGAAAACATGCATTAGCAAGCTAGTTTTTGGTTTCTTTGGCACGAGTAATATAAATGCATCCCAAAACACATTACTATTATGATATAACTACCACATACCATCGATCATACATGCAATGTTTAATCCATAAAATATTCATATTTATTTAATAACACATTTCATGATTGTGAAAATGCATTTAATTTATCACTGTGCTATAGAAATGTAGCACCAAGACAAAGCTGCAGACTAACGCCCATTACTTCTGATTCATGAGAGGTCAGCGGACTTAAGTTCATCTCCGTTGGCTGGGCACTCACCTTCGTTTGAAGGTCGCTTCAACTTTTGCTTTGGATCCTCCGTGTGCATGACCATCTTGGCACTGAGAGCCTTTGGTATCCTTCATTTTGGGTACACAGTGAAACATGTACCACCCTTGCAACACTTGCAACATTTAGAACCTGCTTGCAAATTATGGCAAGAACGGTCAACATACTTAAATCATACGAAGCTGTGATGTTCAACATACATTTATTGCATTAAAAAACTACACATCCTGAGGAAGTTACCAAGAGATACATGGGAAAAAAGGCCATCCTGTATTTATAATTTTCGGTTTTAATTTAAAACAGCTCAAGTAGGCAAATCACAATCACTGATCGCCTTTGTGTATGTCAAATGGAAGTTTTTTTTATGGAATGCCTCTTTATAATAAGTCTAAACTCAATTAAATTATTGTTTTACCCTATTCCTCTCTGGAATTCAGCAGACGAAGGAAGCTTAACACATTTAATGGTTTTGAAGTCATCAGAATATTTTAGCAACCGATATATGCACAAAACCTTCCCCCAACTACCTAGTCCACTCAGACCATAATGAGTTGTGATCAACACAGCACTTAGCTGATATATGAACACAGGACACCCACAATCTATTCCAGATATTATAAGGCCATCCAAGCAATATTCCGTCGGTATAAGCATATTTTGAAATATTTAAAGTTAAAATACATTGTGACATGTAACAATCATAATGTTCCAAAATACTAAATAATTTAAAACACTACTCAAACAGCAACAAGGGTGTGCTTATTGTTCTGGAAATGTATACTCGGAATTGGCCGTTGAATGTTGTGTTTTAAAATAATTGTTTTCTAATACAACCTTGCATTTTTGTTTCATTCATTTTGCCATGAATTGATTCTCACATTTTATTACAGCAACACTTAATGGACTGCTGTAATGAATCCATCTGTTTTTGGCCCTCACATGAAAGATGTATGCTTATCCACAGGCATGTTAAAGTTAAGTGTACTGTCACAAACCTGGTTCTGGGGTGTGACCTGCTCAGTGTGGACTGGGGAACACAAGCTGAAGCAATTACTCCAAGCGATAATTTGAGAGACTCAAATTTATAAACGTGGTAATTCCTACCAATTATTTTATTGTAAATGCTTACCATTATCTGTATGTCAGGTACTTACTGTTTCATACAATTCTTTCTAAACCTGCATATTACTTCCTTACTTGTGTAGTGGGTTCCACAGAGGCGTACACTCGAACTTGGAGGCAACACGTTTATTTCTTAACACAACGGGGTAACTATATTACCACTCGACGGATAATGATTTAGGGTGGTAACCACCACGAGTAACTACATAACCACTCGATAACTATACAATCGGACCAGGTCGGCTAACACGCTGCCTGGTCTACGATGTCGCGCGCGAAGCCCGAAGACTGAGGACTGAAGACAAAAGAGACGTAGCACGGCAGGTTGATTCCAGAAGACATCCGCGATTGCTCTCGGGCCATCCCTCTTGTGATGCCGAGCGTGGCCTTGCCCCGCCTCCGGCCACGCCCCTTCTGAAGGATCTGGAGCCAGCACCACGTGTCCCTCAAGCCCCCTTTTGGGCCCCTTTGCTACCCCGTGCCGGTCACGTGTCCTCTCGGGTTCACCCAGACGGTCAAGTCCTCACCCGACCTCGAAACCACTGTCACCCGAACTATGCCATCTAGGGGCCCTTCTGTTCCATACTCATTTCAGTGCTAGAGAGAAGCTCCACACCTCCAGTACCCCTCTTCTCTCGCTACTGGCGCTACACCACAGTGACTCTATACACGCCACTACTTGTATCATAATAAACATTCCCAGGGCTCAGTTGTAAAATTAATATTCTCCTGGCTTGCATAAGAGTGCTTGTTTTCCAACAAGTGCAACATTTTAATTTGAGAAGTAAAAAAAATGGTGCATTAACTCCTTGACAAGTGCAAATAAAATGGAAAAAATTACACTTCCATAATATACCTTGCAATTAAAAGTTTGGCTCAATTGAAGTAAACACTTTCAGCAAGCATGAAAACACACAAATAAAAGCACTTGCCAACACACACACAAGTGTGCACACTCAAACTGCCATGCCTAATACTGCTACTGCTGTAATCAAGGGAGACTGCTTACAGCAGTGGGCCTTTGATCCCTTTGATCTAATGGTTCAATTGTTGGCCACACGAGTATGCCAATTGGTGCCTCCAATTATTGCACACTGGGAGATGGTAGTACTGCAAACACCACCAGAAATTATAAGCTCATAAAACCACTTAATAGCTTTCAACACTAGTTGGGCACAAAACGTTAACTTGAATCCAGTTAAATACAATATAAATATGTTGTTATGCATGTACTGCACAAGAAAATGTTCAATTTTGTTAAGTTATAAATGTGTACGTTTACTACAAAACGTGTAGGCTAACCACAGAGTGGGTTGCTGAGGGTTTACTATACAGAACTCAGTAACATTTCACCAATTAAAATTCAAGCATCCCATGAAAGTATTAATTTCTGTTGGGTACCCTATACTAGCACCAACTCAGAGATAAAGGCAGCTTTGGCTTTAACATTTATAATGCGAACAATCACACACGGTCAGAATACAAATCTAAAGCTTATCCATTCAGAACAAGAATCCTGAGAAGGAATTGTACATACCTGATGGCAGAAAACCTCTTGGCCTGGGCTTGAGCCAGGAACTTTTTATATTTGTCAATCTTGGCATCAAGGTCTCTGATTACACTTTTAGTGGACTTGGCTTCCGGCTTCTCTCTGGCACAGGAGGCACTGTCTTCAGTTGCACCCTCCACGTCCTCCGGAAGTCCCACATTAGGAGGCCCGGCACCTTCATGCCGGTCAGAGTTCTGCTCATTGTCTGAAAGGCTGTCATCTGGTAAAGAGATTCATATGTTCAGCAGAACCAAACCCACCACATCTCACAAAAAGTTACTATCGGATTCGATCATTTGTTTTCAGAAATTCCATCGGCCCTTCCAAGTTGCAAGGCTTCCAGTTATTTTCTATGGAATATACAAGTTTAATAATTTAGTTGTACAGTAGTTTAAAGTTATAAACATATGCTCATGCATTAAAGTGCTCCTTAAATTAAAATACAGTAAGTTTTATTCAATGTTCCTTCATTATTGATAACATAATGGATATATATTGCAACATGAATGACTCAATGTGAAGTCAATGCTTGTGATGTGAAAACAGGATCAGCTCACCTCACAATCAATGGCTCATCACCAGTTAATTCGATGCATACCAATCAATCAACTCAAATGTTTTAAATTAAACAAAGTTTTTGTGATACTGCATTGGTCGAGATGCAAATGCATAAATACAAACTCAGCCCATGTGTTAATAACACTGTGGCCCTAAAAGGAAAAAGATAAATAGGAGACATTTTGGGAAATAGCCTTCTTCATAGAAAATATGCACTCCAAAGTCGTGGCACAAAACCATGACAATTGGACATGGTGAGTAAACCCAGGGGCATCAGTGTTTTTTTCAAATGAATGTTTTTCAATGTCAATACTTCATAGCAATGCATTGTGTGTATACCATGGCAAGACAAATACCTGAATGTTTCTATACTTGCCAACATTTAAACAACCTCGTTAGTCTGAAATGCAAAAAATAATTGCTTGGAATGTACAGTCATATGTTAATGGCAATATGTATTTGGAAGGCAGACAATACTATGAAGATTACATCAACTGGCGTGAGCCCCAAAGCAAGGTTTGCCAAGTACCAAATAAACCCGTCACCAATTCAAGTGCACTAGACGTAGGGGTAGATCAGCGTGTTGTAGAAGTGTGCTCTGCCAGTTGAACAGGTCCACATGGAGTCAAGGCGAAGCCTCACCCACCCACAGCTCATATAGCAGCCACCTTTGTCATCTTCATTCTCATCCTCGGATGGCAGCTCGATGGGTTCAAGAGGGAGTAGATCGTCTCCAGAAAACTCCAGTCCCACACTGATGACGCTGAAGTCCTGGTGGACGCTGGGGTGGACCACGCTGGCTGAGGCGTTGACCCCCTCTTCCTGTTCCTCCTCCTCCTCCTCAACCGCGACAGCATCTCCTTGCCCTGACACTTCCTGGCTAACAACGGGATTGCTCGCAACTTCTGTATCCTGCGTTTTTGTGTCTGCTCCAACCTCTGCTTCATTTTGGGCTTCCGTGTTGACTCCCTGTACACATTGCATGATCAAGATGTATTATCAATGTTGAGTATTTTTAAAATAACGTTGTTTCCATGTATAGGAAGCCTCAAATTGACATTTGCTTGACCTCACAAATTTAAACTCTTTTTCATAATTGTGTCTGTTATCGGAAATGTCTTAACGGAAGAATTTTTTTGACTAAGAAATTAGCTAATTAAAATCAAATCCGGTCAATTACCAGAAATTGCATATTTACCCTTATGTCATAAAAAACAAGTTATGGCAGTACGAATGCCTTTTCCTTGCTAACAGCTTCGGTTGTAGACCGGTAGTCTTCGGTTGCATAATGGAGGGGCCTATAAGGACCCTTCTCACTTAATGAACAGCACATCATATTTGTTTGACAAAAAAAAGTTAATCATTTATTTAGGGACATCATATTCCTGTTTTGATTTCAACTGAGTAACATTTTTATGAATGAGCCTGTGGTAATCATACTATCCACAAATGTTTACATTTTCAATGTTTGTGTTTCTTAATGAACAGAAAATAAACATCCCAAACGGTGCAACAAAACATCGTTTAGTCACCATGGCCAGATAAACCCTACCCTGTCCTCTGAGCCTTGTCAGAGCCGGGTTATACTTTGGGTCATGTAGCAGTGTAAACATCTATTTGGCATTTTGTTTGTATATTTATTAAGACTGCCCGTAATTTATTTCACACAGCACATATGGTCAGGCTTCCTAAATGCACTTCATGCAGGATATGGCACAATAATTTCTGAACAGCAAGCTTTGCTGCACACAAGTGTGAAGACGGTAATGTATTATGGAGATGGCTTTGTGGTTGAATGTTCTACAGAAAACTCCCCTTCACTCTCAAATATTTTTTGACTTGGCGCCTAATGATGTGATGGAAGATATTTTTTTTCACGTAATGTTTGTTCTCTTGCAAGATTTAAAGAAACTTGGACAAGATTTTACCAATGTGCATAGTTTTCACTATTGAACATTCACACACAATATTATTAACCTCAAGGGAAATAACAATCTAAGTGATCCTGTGATTAAGGCACTATTGGAAGGCTGTAAATTCAATGGATCCCACGATAAGCAGCAGGCTAAGCAGGTGGTAGGGTTTGCTGCTGCTGCTGTGGAGCCACTTACCTTCACACCCCCTGGGGCTGCTGGCGGCTTCACAAAGAATGGGATCCTACCCCTCTGGAAATCATTGAGCACCATCTTGGCCACGGTCTGGCAGTCTGGCTCCCCACCCTGACCAACACAATAAGGGGGGGGGGGGGGGGGGGGGGGGAGTGATGGGCACACGTTCAAGCAGCCGGCAGCGGCAACACCTTCCACCCATAAACTCCAAAACTTGCAGGGCACTAGAAGCAGAGGGTGGCCGTTAGATAGCCAGCCTGAAGACTTGATTGTTTGCAGAATTATACTTTTTATGTTTTTGGAAATTCATTTCTAAACACAAACATGGGTTACATAATGGTCAAGTCAAATGTAATTCAAGATTAATGAGCATGAAAACAGTAATTAACTCTCATTCACAACTATGAGCCAAGTGGCAACTCCACATTCCTATGACAAGATACTCATTTTATCAACCCCAGAGGGATGATGAGTCAATCCCCAACCATGATTAGAACTCGCAACCGTCCCATTGAGAGCAGCTCTCTCCTGCTGAGCCACATGACCAAATGTGTAACCTCATGGTGGCCTCAAATGAGAAATGTATTGATTATATTTGCTGGAAAAAAATTAGCCGAAAGCTATTTTGCAATAAAAAAGAAATTGAAATAAATTATGCAAAAACCGGAGCAATTTGAATATTTTTCTAGCACGACTAAGAGCATTTGTAAGTTTCTTTTTTTATGAAGTTGAGTTGTCCAAAAGCACTCCAACCTCTCGTCCACCTCATTATTTCAACAGTTTTATCCCAGTCCACCTTAAATAACTGACCTAGGTACACAATAATGTGTTGTCCAGTTGTGTCCCTACAACAAATATCTTAAATTTAGTTAACAGTACTTAATTGTTGTATTGCTCATGTGTCGTGAGCCAAACTTTTCAGCTTTCTTAATTTAGTTTATTATTTTATTAACTTCTTAAATTATTCAGTAATTCTGAATTCTTGAATAATGAATTTTGACAAACGAAATTTCTAACGTAAAAAGTGCTTCGATTAGCATATATCTACTACTAAATATTGGTCAGAAACAGAAATTTACAAAAAAAGTCGAAAAACTGAAAAATGCAGCAAGAAGCACGGAGGTGCATGCTTGAAATGGCAAGGAAAACCAGAAAGAGGAATGCACGGGTTACAGAACCTACGCAAGTTAGAGGCATCATATTGACTTAAGGAATAGGACCTTGGGCAGGGAAAGTTGCGAGAAGGGATGATGGCTGGTGGCCTAGACTAACAACAGAACGGTAGCCAAAGAAGGGAACATTCTCAAAAGGGACATCCCACTGCAGAGATCGCAGCGAGGAGATCTGCTCGTTTTCAGGATAGAGATGAATTGTTGCATTATAAGACCAAATACCATGCACAGATTGATTATATACAACTATATTTAAATGCATTATGAAAGAAACAAAACCAAAATATTAAACCCAGGTTTCCTTTACAAAGTCCACCATGTGGCTGAGTAAGCTGTCCCTCTCTCCAAGCACGTTCTCCATCGGCAGTTGCAACATTTTTTTTGCTTGACCCATAAACGGAATCACACGACTCGCTCACTGTGGGCCGAGAGGTTCACGTGAAAACGTCGCAAACGCAACTTCACCTAAGGGAAAAGAACGTCATGTTTGCGAATGATGCCATATTCACGAATGAAAGGAATAGTCGCCTGTTCGCAGTGCACAGCCCACTTAGCCAATAGCTCACGTAAATCAGTGCTCGCAGAGTCACAACAACTCCGTGGGCTCAAAATGGCCCATGGGCTGACGGTTGCACACTCCTGTTCTAAATGAAACAAAGATGCTCTGCGTAACCATGAATACATGCACGTTGTATTATATTAATGAGATTACTATAATAGTAAGCCCAATGACGACATGGAGGTACACACAATTATTGGCAGTATGAGAACCCATTATCGTTCCAGGTTTCCTCAATAAACTATAACCAGGACAGTTTGCTTGTGTTTAAAGGCAGAGTGCAGCCTTGCTGTTCTCCCAAGGCTGTAAATGCTGGAATCTACATAATGGGCCCAAAAAGCTTCCAACTGCAGATGCTGAAATAATGTGACCGCACGTATCAGAACGATAACATTCAACTGTGTGATAGCAGAAAGGTCATGAAATACCATAGGCCTTGCGGATTACCTTTGTACCGAAGACTTAGTTATTCCGTGAAAGCAAGAGCCATGCAGCCATTTTGTCACTACAATAATGTTACATTATTATTCCTTGCGTATATATTAGAAATGTTATGCAATAATAATACAAATCACACAAGTTACTAAAAGCTCATAACACATAATTCACAATATTACATTTGTACACACGTGTGATTCGTTGATAAAGCTGTGAATAAGTTACGGCTTAAATTTTTACTTAAAACTTTCGTGACTGCAGCAAATCATAATCTTGGTTCTTTCGGTAAAGTCACGTAAATAGAAAAAAAACATTTGAATCATGAAAATAAAATAAAAAATGTATCTAAAATAATAAAAGCAAAACACCCACAATCAAAAATAAAATATAGTAAAATAAATTGGAAATAATAAAAGAAAAAAACCCTCGACGTTTCAATCGCAACACAAGCGGTCTTCATCAGGCGGTGTGTTACTATCGAAACGTCGTGGATTTTTTGCTTTTATTATTTTCTATTTATTTCACTATTTTTTATAGTGGGTTTTTTGCTTTTATTATTTGAAAATTTTATTATTATTTATTAAAGTTGTTTTTATTATTCAACATGCAAAATTATTTCATTATTTATTTTTAATTTATTTTTTCTATTTACGTGACTTTACCGAAAGAACCAAGAATAAGTGAGAGCTTGTATACACTTCCATACGTGCGAATAGAACATCACAGCATTATGAAGTAGCCATACAAAACACAGAGATATATAAATACACACATCCTATTGAACAAACTGAAATGGTTCTAATTAACGGTCCACTTCACGTATGTAAGCGCTAGAACTCAGCACAATAAAAGCACAGCTCCTCCAAGCAGCAAAAGTGGCTGAGCATCAGCAACTTGAGATCTTGGTGTTGTTATTAAACAAGATTGCAGTCTTGATTTTGGCTGCACTTTCTAATGAAACATTCAACTGCTACTCACGTTTCACTTTATACTTGGCAATTGCTTTTGCAATTTAAAAAAAAAAAAGTATTAAATCAAATATTCCACTATATTTCTAATTATGCAAAAAAACATTTTTTGCTGACCATCAGACTTTTATTTTATTTGCTATATAACAATAATTTTAATAGCAGAACTGTAGGGATAAGTATACATCTCAGTCGAGTGAATGATAATCATCGACCAACTTGACAGCATATAAATTACATTGATGGGGTGTTTTAACCTTTAATGTACACTGTGGCCAAACTGGTACAAGGCAATGTGGGTGCTCATGAAAAAGTGAAATTATCCTTTGCGACGTAAGACTATTCCAAAAGCTGGGTTAAAGAAACAAAGGCAAAGCGACAAATGGAGAAGACATTATCCATCTCAGATTTGCTGATGATATAGTTATTATAACATTTGTTGAAAACGAATGACCAAACAAGAATGCTGCATAGCTGGGTTCAAGTTAGACAGAGCAATACAAAAGCAAAGTACAAGTTTGCCAAAGAAAATAAAATGTGCTGGAGGTACACTACTGAAGAAAAACAGAGTATACATGCCTAGGTCAATTATTAAAGGTGGATTTGGAATAATGCATTAAGAAAATTAATTTGATAATGAAATGCAACAGAGCAATGTGCTTAAAGGAGAATATTTTCAATCAGTGAATATTACCTTCTATGAAAAATAGATCATAAACATTATTACTCACAATACAATGAAAGAAAAGCAAAACACAAATGATAGAATATACCAAAAACTAGCCTTTTCCCGTCCAAGGACGGGTGTATTTCAGTAAATCTGAAACTTGCAAGCGAAAGCAGACCGCAACGTGATATTAATTGCATCAATTCGTGTGCAATTTGTAAGGCCGCGCTGACACAGACTTATTTCATGTAAAGGTTATAATCCCTTCTTCATCATGACGTCCTTTTAACTTCTATGTCTCAACAGCGTGACGGAAATCACGTGACGTCAGGGTTATAAGTTGTCGATGAGGAGGCGCCTCTCGCCTCCCCTGTGGAGTGACGTCACCCGCTAACTATTAATGGAGGGGGGGTGTCCATTTGGAGGACGTCACCTGTTCATTGATTATTGAGGGGGCTGTTCGATGGAGTGACGTCACCTGCTCATGATTATTAATGAGGGGGGGGGGGCAGGTCCATGTGGAGCACGTAACCGGTTCATGATTATAAATGGAGGCTGGTCGACGTGGAGTGACGTCACGCGCGGGACACACAGACATCTTTGGCTCATTATAGGAGTAATTAGTGACATTATATTGACTTAAAAAGACTAAGTGGACTTTGATAGGACCCGTCACGAGTACAGACGATGGCAGACGGGTGAGGCTGGCGAGGTGGATGGTTGCATCGCGAGACCTTTAGGGATGGCAATGGATGTTGGGAGGCCTTCATCCAGCAGTGAACAGATCATGGCTGATGACAATGGTGCCAACATGTTTAGGAACAAGCTTCAGTGAAGCTCAAAAACAATTCTAGATCACATAAGAAAACTAACAGAAATGCGTGTTGATGATGTATAAAATACCTTCAGTAGCTTGCCCATGCGGAAAGCCATCTTCTCCAGAAAGTCTTCTGGGCTTGACCAAGACTCGATTTTGTATGTCTTCTGGATGTAGTCTGGCTTAACACGGTTCAGAACCTCTGGTATGTGATCTTCAGGCGTTTTAATTTTCTCTATTTGGACCTAAGGCGCACACAGGCCAGGGAGTGATTTAAGAGCAGTTTTCAGAAAATAGACTCAATTGAGCCCAGCAATTGGCCATATTTTTGGATAACCTTGAAGCATGTTTATAGTTATTAAATACATACACTTCCTTAAACTATATGTATGGTGCACAGTGGCTGAATATATTCTTACATAATTTATTTTAATGCGTTCTAGATTAAGTTTTTATAAATATTCCTGTAAGCTTTCGACAAGTACTGATTACAAACCTAGCTATTCAATAGCCACAATAAAATTTGTATAACTGATTACTGTGCTTTATATTCAACATTTCAAGTAAAACATGTCTTACGTTGAATGTAATTTAAAAAAATCGAGATTACATTTTTTGGCTACGCTACTTATAACGAATTTCCATATGCAGTTTCAAACATATAACTTATATAAGATCACACGCGACATAAAACTTTATTTACCACTCCTTTGAGAACAATCTCTGTCTCCGTGTCGCCAGAAGGGTAGACAACACCAGGGCAATCGATGAGGAAAATGCGCTTCATCAGTGTTATGTACTGCCAGACCTTTCTCATGCAACAGTCACAAAACACAATACCAAATTTATGACACATCTGCTTCTATTCTACAGGAGAGACGCAACATGTTCCATTCCCAAGAATGTCTCTTTTGCATATCTGTTTAAAATGATTGAACAGATATCTAAAGGTTGACAATTTTGGTGCAACACCTGCACATACGCATATTCGTAGGCTCGCTGAAGCCAGGTCAATATTCGGTGTGTAAATCTTACAGGGGTCAGCTGTACAACACGTAATTGTTCACACCGTATTTTCCATCTGATGGCGTGTTTATAAGAACAGCGCTCCCCATCATAATGGGGAGCGGTGGCACAGCAGTTAGCGCGCTGCACTAGGAACCTGAATTGGTCGTAAACATTTATTTAATTTGCACATGAAACGAGAAATTAAATGCCATTCATTTACTGAGGATAACCACAACTTTCTCTGTCTTAAGACTTTTTCAGCAAAAACCTACTCTTAATACTCATTGACTATGAGCGATTAGAGCCCTACTCTTATTACTTATGATTCAACGTGTCTCTCTGCTGATGTGTGGGGTAGTGGACATCTCCATTGTGGTCCTGGATGAGCAGAAACACTACAACCCAAAGTCTAGAGCAAAAATGTGACCTAATTTACTGACTCCAAAAACTCAATAACCCTGGCAGGAATATGAAATCACAACTTCTGATTGAGAGCTGATCTCTGCTACAGCACCGCTCATCTTGAAACGTGACACTCAAATGGCAACATAGATGTTCTTGCACAGGACATTGTCTCACCTTGGTTTCTCCTGCAATCGGAGCCACCTTGCACACTTTCTTTGACCTCAACGTGTTGATGATGGAGCTCTTGCCCACATTGGGGTAGCCGATGAAGCCAACACTAATGTGTTTCTTGTCTATGTGTAGCTGCAGAACAATATTGCAATAAGGCCGCCATCAAAACGCACCACACATTTATAAACATATGCACTCCATTCATCTTTAATAAAATGTAAAAAAAAAACCCTGGCTTACCTTTCCAAACTGTCTAAGGAGTTGGATCAGGGCTCCCTTGCCAAAGGACTTGGTAATGCTGGCATGGAAGGCTAGCGTTGGATACTCACTGGACAGAATGGCGACCCAGCGTTGCTGTGAAAGAAATAAGCCAGTAGAAAGTGAAACCATCTACAATTTAAATTAACTTACAATTTACACGGCATTTTTGCACCAAAGTCAAACAAAACAAGAGTTGGTTATTGGAGGTCCTTCTCGGTCGAGTGGAAAATTTAACACATGAGGAAATGGCGCAGCGAGCATTGGGCCTTGGCTGCCTGGTGCCTGTGCTGGTGCTTAATGGCCCTTTCATGTGGTTGGCTGCTGGTTGGCTGCTGGCCGGCTTGAAAGGAAATTTCTTCAGTGATTAATAGATACCGAGCATTGCTATAATTTTAATAGCAGCTGTACTTGGAACAATATGTAGTTTGTGCTATTCACTTTGTTTATAAATGTTGGTGAAGCAAACACACGAGGAGCCAAATGGCAACATCACTGTTGCTCTTTTAATTAAACTTCACTTTGCATTTTAAAATTGTATTATCACAAGGCCAAAATGAGCCCAGGTTCCACTAGACGCCTATCAAAGGGTCGTCTTACATCCAAAGTTGGCCTCTTAGATCACAGGATGCATACTTGCTTAGTATTAGAACAGGGAAGAGATATTCAAACATATTTATGATTTAGAATTCACTCTTGTAAATTATCTTGTACTACTTGCTTTTACTGAATTTATGTATGCAAATTTATTACGAATTTTCTACTTCTTAGTACAAATTCTCTGATGCATTTAGCTACAATATTTTATAGTTTTTTTGCAAAACCCCTTTGAGGCAAATACTCTGGGGAAAGGTCCGATGCAAAAATAAAGATTGATTGAACTATGCATTGTACTTAAAAAATACTTAAGACCAAATCATAAAAATCTATTTTTCTAAGGTTCTTTCTTCGTGAATAAACAAAGCAGCATCTCTTTATAGTCAAACTTGTGCATATAACACTTAACAGGGTGCTAAAATATTCACATACTAATAATAATATTTGAATTGCATCTCAAAAAACCTTACATCACATCTCATATCAAACATTGGAAGGGGATCACCGTTGGCATCTGTTTTGGAATGGCACAAGGCGACTTGGCACCAACCTGCAAGTGGAAATGAGTCTGCGAGTCATGGGCAATGGTTTGCTATGTGTAATATCACAGAAGTAATTTGTGAATATTTCAAATGTGTCAATTTGGACCATGACGCCAGCAAGGAATGGCCTGCTCTTTTTGAATCCCACCACATGATCTTCCATTTTGAAGCATCTACTGTTAAGTAGGCGGCGTGTAGTTTTTATGTGAATAGACAGTATTATACAGGGTGGTCTATCGGATCCGAACCACGAACCTCTACACCATCCATCGAACGCGTGACCGCTTGGCCATGTCACTGCATATATACTTATTAGGATGCATGTGAAAAAAGTACATACCGTCACCCACGTTGGGACAAGGTCACACTTATTGAACACAAAGATCAGATGTTTCCAAGGCTTCTCTTTACGCAGGTACTTCTCGATGTGCTTCGAGCGGGTGCCCATTGGGTCACGAGCATCAAGAACTTGGATAACGACATCTGATGAGTCGATCACCTAGTGGGATGTTGGCGGGGGTGGAGTATTATAATCTACATGAGCAACTGCAACTATACACACAATTAATATTTTTGTGAATGCATAAGTATTTGCTGAACATTTTGATCATTAAATTACAATTGCATTCATTGCAAAATCGACTTCTTTTGATAATGCATTCATTATATTCATTGTGAAATTACTATGTCAGTTGTAAATAATATATGTGCAGCAGACCAATAGTCTTAGCAAATTCTGTATTAGAAAAATAAATATTGAACAAGCAGTTCCTATTCAGTCAACATGACAGATAAAAATAAACAAAACTGCAAATCATTGAGATTTGCTATTTATTCAATCAGCTTCCATATAACATGTACACGAACTCACATTTGTCAGTAACACTGCCTTAAAAGAAAAAATATATAATCGACCAAGTTACGGGAAATGGTCTTTCTTCACGGCACACAAGAGCGTGCCCTTGGTGTTGAGTGCAGTCTCAAACCCCGATTAACTCTGGCCTCTGTTTGTGATGAAAATAACACACAAGATGCCTCTGCAGTGGGCCTTACCTGGTATAATAAAATAAAAAAATAGGCTGGCCAGGTGTGAAAAGTTGCTTTACAATTTTTAAGATAGGGGACAAAATATGATAATAGGGTTTTCCCCTTCTGTCTGGCAACAAAACAGGCGTTAAGATGTAAAAACACCAAACTGAAACCTTTCACAAGGAATCATGTCTGCATTAGCCACAATGCTTGTGGTCAGAATGCAAAGGGGAAACCCCTATTATCATATTTTGGTACTGGCAAAGGAGATCCCATGGTATAGGGGCCAAACACAAGGCCATCTGTCCTCCCATCATGAGACCCTCTGAATACACGGCTAGAAGATGGTGCTTATTTGTGTTCTTTTCAGCCATGAAACCAATACGTACATGTAACTGCACCTTCATTCACCAGCAAAAACATTTGCATTTATGAATCGCTCAATAATTACCTTGTACAACTCCCCCCAGATTCTCTTGGACTGTCCTTTTTTGAAGATCTCTTCTCTTGCCTCATCCCTAAAAATTCAGAGGAAAAATATTTCACTTCACCTTAAAGTAAATCAAAGTTATACCATTACCAGAGTACATTTTATTGCATGTATAATAACAAGCATATTTAGGTATCAAGGGGTGAATAATGTGGCCTACTTCTTACCAATATTTAATAAAATAAAAATCTAAACTGCTGCTAGTTTTGCCAAAGTCGCATTTGTTGGTAAAGCTTTTAATCCCAACACATTAAACATACGTGGTGATGACATGGCCCAGCGGGAGTGCATTCACAACTTGCTGCAGATGTTTGCAGTTAAAATCTTAAAGGCTGCCCTGCGCTTAATACCCGGGTGTGTATTAACTATGAAATATTTCACCCCTTCTGCTTCACAGGGGATGTTAAAGATTTTGTGCTGGCGTCATGGTCTGAAATATAAAAACAACCTGCAAATTACTTATTGGGAAGTCACTAGTTGCTTCACTTCGGCCCGTTTTTATAACATTGTTTCGCTACAACGTCACCGATGAATCACTACCCATTTATGCATTTAACGTCGTGTGTTATCGCTCTAACGTCGCTGCCAGCAGGCAACTACTTTCCATGGCGGAAAGTGAGGCGGCTGTATGCTCTATGCGGCCAGACTGTACGGCAGGTCCTCGCTTTCTTGTGCTGCGCTAGTCAGCGGGGTGATACAGTACACGGCAGCATATCTTCATGTCGGTTCATTGTGGTGACGTCACCGTCAATTAGTAGCGAACAGCGGTTGTTATTGTTGTGAGAGTGAGTGGTGGTGCAGTGGTTTGTGCACTCCGCTGCCAACTCGGCAGAGACCAGAGTTTGATTCCTGCTCACAGCCACCACAAACAACACCAGTGATAGCGATTATCTGAACTGGGACTCCCCTAGGTGGACTCAGTCCAAAATGAATACTTAGAGACAAAGACGGCCATGCGTGTGTGGTGCCTGCCACCCACATTCTCGTGTGCTGTGCCGGCATTCATAGGTGCTACTCGCTAACAGCACTTGCACCGAGCCTGCTAAAGGCTACAAGGGGGATCTTTGTCTTTGGTGCAGTGGTTAGCGCATTGCGCTGCAGACCCAGCCAACCTGCGATGACTTGTAAAAAAATATATAACTTAAAACATCTGTCAATGATATACACACTGTGTGGCCTGGCAATTGCCCTTCTTCATGGTCTTAACCTAAACCAAGCTTTTCTCTACTTATAGCTACAGTTAATCATCAGTGTTATTATTCGTTTTTCAATTAAATATGTACATTAAGAAAGCTTTTTTACATTCTTAATCTTGATAGGAAGTTTCCAGGAACAATAACCCCCCCATTTACATTGTTTCTTATGGGAAAACAGGTTTCGCTTAATGCTGCTTCACTTAAAGTCACATTTTCCAGGAAAGTAACCCCGAAGTTAGGCGAGGAGTGACTGTACAAGTATCAAGCAATGCCCCCATACTGAGTCACAGCTAGCACTTGGAGTACCCTTCGAATGATTGAAGCACGTAGCCACCATATACATATTATTATTCCTTTGACTTTTCACAAATTACTACTGAACTCTGACCATTCTGTAAATCTAAAACCACCAAGCACTTGCTACACATTGGTCAAGTGACTTTCGCTTGCCCTCGGTGCTCACCGTATGCCAGAATCCTCCACCACGAGGTCGCGGTCTTTCTCGAGGTCGTAGGTGTCGGCCGAGGTCTGGGCGCTCTCCAGCAGGGCCTGTAGGTCGGCCGCTGGCAGGCTCGGCCGCTTGCGCTGCGCTTTCTTCCCGAATGTTGTCTCGAAACTCTCCGTGTCGAGGATGTGCACCCGGGCGTTCTGAGAACCATGAGGCATGGCAGGAGTGCCTTGGTTACAGCAATTGTTACCTCCGATTAGCACGGTTGGCTACATTCAGTGCGAAAGAAGTTCAACATACTTACGTGATATGGGAATTAAATAATACATTAGATGTGAGGTGGTTGAGTGGTTCAGGGGTCATAACAGGGAGTGGGGACAGCTAATACCCAAAGTTAAAATCTGGATTTTAGCTACCTGTGATTAAATTAGGTTCCCTAAGTGTAGCAAGTTTATCACCTCACTCCTGTCAATACTGACTGCATTAAAAAGCATCAAATTACATTTGTTTTTCATTTAATTTGGCAAAGTTCTAGCTCTAAAATTGAAAAATATTGGTTTAACTGCCGACAGCAAATATTTCTCTGTGCAGGGTCAGTGGGAAAGTGATCCCAAAGAAGTTACTTGAAGGGGTCTCAGAAGTTGTTCTTTGGTCTATCCTTCCACAGGCTGTTTTCTGACACAGCGTGATGCATTGCTATACAAGTTCGAAAATAACATTGTTTCATGACCACGCAGACAGCACAAATTGGGAAGAAAATAAAGAGTATAGTTTTATTAACGTTGATAAAAATGTACAAATATTTATTGAATTAGAAAGTTAAATGTCTTAAGTTCTATTGATTCCAAAGCCAATGATCAAAATTCTATATTCCTATGACAACCCACCAGTCTCTCCATAGGAAACGCCATCGTTGAATTCGCACAAGGTGGTACTAATTTTTCAATGCCAGACAGATGGGTCGAGTCGCTCCTTAACCAGGAACTTAACTCAAACATTTTGATTATGAGCTTGTGCAGTTTTTACTTTCAGGATGTTAATTATCAGGAAATACGTATTACAGTTTATTCATGTCATCCTAGACAATATGTTGGAAACAATACCCACCCATCAATAAGCCACAAAGTACACTTACATGGGGCTTGCTGGTCTCATTCAGAAGAGAGATTGGAAGTTTACTGGTTTTCAAGATAACTTTGTACGGGTCCTTTATAACTTTTCCCATTTCTTCCTGAAACTTCTGCAAGGCAGCCTGCTTGATGACGCGGGTATTTCCTGTTACACGCAAAAACAGCAATATGTTTCTTGGAAAACATTTAAAAGTCATGGTCCTCTTACATGCCAGTTTACAAGCAGCCTATTTGTTTCCTTTGTTGGTGTTATTACTCAATAACTGTAGGCACTTGGAAGTCCATGTACAGAAATGCTGGCTTCCACACACCAGCAGTAGGCAGGAAAGCCACCCTTTAGCGTGGCGTAAACTTCACTGAGAAACAAATGCAGAGAAGTGTTAATTCTTGAGAATCAAGTTTGAGTTAGGAGAGTACTGCCACCACATTTGGTCAAGAATAGAATAAAAACATAGAAAAGCTTGGTTGCTTTAAACGTAATTGTATTGTGACACAAGTGTAATAAAGGACTCTCTCTCAGATGTCGATCTCCGTTGTCCTTTATTGGGTTCGTAGAATCTCGATACCACGGCGTCTCGCTCAGGCCCACGTCCCGCTCGACGACCTCTCCACAGCCTCGGCTGCTCCGTTGTGCAGTCTCCATGCTGCTCCAATATGCAGTCTCCCTGCTGCTCCAATATGCAGTCTCCCTGCTGCTCCCGTTATGCAGCCTCCCTGCTGCTCCAATATGCAGTCTCCCTGCTGCTCCAATATGCAGTCTCCCTGCTGCTCCCGTTATGCAGCCTCCCTGCTGCTCCAATATGCAGCCTCCCTGCTGCTCCAATATGCAGTCTCCCTGCTGCTCCAATATGCAGTCTCCCTGCTGCTTCAATATGCAGTCTCACTGCTGCTCCAATATGCAGTCTCCCTGCTGCCCCGTCAGGCGATCCTTGCAGCCACACCGCTGCTCCGCTATCTAGCATCACTGCTGTCCCGTACACAGCTAGCCTCTCCCAGCCCCGTTAGCTCTCTCCGTCTGACACCGATGGCTGACGGTGTCGACGTCTCCCACCGCGTGGCGACCCCGCTACTCTCTCCTTCTTGCCCAGCGTGGCCTCCTCGTGTTTCACTCCGTCTCAACTCCCCCTTCTTCCCCTTCCGGTTCTCTCCCTAAATCCTCTCACACACGTGACTCTAACTCCACCCACTCCCCACGTGACCCAGACTCCGCCCCCCCTCAATCCTTGCTCGCATTACACAAGGCACAACTTTAATCGAGGTTCAGTAAACTAAACCAATACCTATGGGACCCTTTTGCCAGTATGAAAATGGAAAAAAATAAGAACAAACTTTACCCTGCCAGAAAGTGTAAAGCCTATTCTTATATTTTTCAAACTCAACCAAATTTACATTTAATAAACCATGCATAGCAACTGCATAACTTGTACTAATAAAAGACAAAAACACACCACAATTCACTTGGCATGCATTAAGAGACAAAATTCACCCGGTTTTCCTTTCGAAACCTAGGTCACAATATAGCTGGCATTCTATCCATCCTAATAACCTGTTACTATGAATTAGTTGGTGTTGCTAACCTATGTATTGCTTTGGGTATTGCAATATCGAGCATAGCAGAAATTTTAAACATTTACAATGTTTAATATAATCTTTGGTTCTTTCGGTAAAGTCACGTAGAAAAAATAATACGTAGTGTCTATGTTGTGTGTCTCTCTGTGTGTCTCTGTGTTGTCTCTCTCTGCTTGTGTGTCTGTCTGTGTGTCCCCGTGTCTGTGTTTTGTCTCTCTCTCTCAAATTTAGCAATCTTTGGAAGAATGTAATTAACCAGGTAAGGTGCTGACTGTTGTGTTAGCCAACTCTGTGTTGGATTGCATTGTATTTCGAAGTTCACTAGGTTTGTTTTCTACCTGATGACGATTGCTTGTGTTGCAATCGAAACGTCGTATTATATTATTTAATTGATTTTCTTTCTACGTGACTTTACTGAAAGAACCAAAGAGTAATTCCTGCAGTCACGAGAGCTTCAAATAAATGTTTAACATGTTGTTTACTTTGTTGACTTGTGTGATCAACAGTTAGTGTGTTATTTTTACCAAATAGGTGTATGTTCATACGTGGTTGATCACATTGTTGAACTTTTTTTTCACCGTATGTAGCCAACCATGCTCTGGGCAGGTGCACTCAAAGCGCACATTCATACACTACGTGCCCATGGGATAAATCATATTAAAACAATCCAATCCAATTACAGATTTATAAAGAACCACTACAAATAAAATACACGCATTAATGACTTAAAATCCTAAAAACAACTTGGTTGAAAAAAAACTTACCAAACCATTTTCTGTTTGGTTCCACTCTGGCAACAGTTCCAGAAGCCACCTCCGACTGGTAAGGCAACCGCTTTATCACCTTTCCCAAATTGTTCCTTTTAAGTGGAAAACAGATTACAGTACATATCAGTAATAATCCTGCAGGTAAACCATTTGAAACAAAAATAAACATTGCTATTACACCACAAGAGAAAGGTGCTTCTTTACTGAAATGATTGGGGCGGAACTTGTCTATTAGCAGCCCTGAGGTAGAAGTGGGAATTCCACATCGTGGGGCCCTGTTAATGCACAGGGCAACCATCACTGCTACTTATTTGTAGGGCTCTGGTCTAGCAGTGCTTTTTGGATTTGTATACATGTTCTTACAATGGTGGCAAACCATTACCAATCTATGGTTATGTTTATGTTGTGCCCCGTGTGCAGAGACACAAAAGCACTCATTAACTCGTAAAAGGCTAACATGGAATTTTAATTAGAAGACTTGAGGTACATACACGTGTGCTGCACACAGAATTACAGGTGTAGGCAGCCATCGTCTGTCAGATATTCATTTTCTGGGCCCCCCTCTGGCAGGGGCTCTTAAATAGGCATAGAGTACTTGGTCATGTGACCAACTTCCTGAGGCAATGCACATTAGTGCCCAAACACACCAGTGTATTTTCCCAAATGCTTGCTTTCATTGTTTAATAAATGGTCCACTTTAAAATCAAGGAGAGGAAAAACATTTCTCAGAGTATGTGGGACAAAAAAACAGTATGTCTGTACGTTGAACTTCTTTTGCACCGTACGTAGCCAACTGTGCTTATTGGAGGTGCGGGAACATTGTGTATAATTTGTATAAAGTAGAGATTCAGTTATTCTGTAAAACATGTAGCGATCACAAATAAAAAGTGGTTGAATTGCTGCCAGCAATGTTGTCATTTAAAGTATTACAAGCATGTTTCTTTCAATCAACCAGCATGTACAGGATTTTACTGAAAAGTGTTGCACTCTTTGTTGTGTTCACTGCTGTGCACAAAGTTGGTGTAGTTACTGGATGCCATGTATACTCAGTGTGAGCCGTACCTCCTTTCCTTCTGCCTGTACATGTTGAGGCGGCGGACGGTGGCCCGATCCCGCATGTTGTGGTCACCGGCCCCCTTGGGCCGGTCTATGCACAATTTCACAAATTACTTTTCACTCAGCCATTGCATTGACAGGGCACACAATACAATGCAAAATGCTACTTCTTTAACTGAAATCCACATGTAAGAATCGAGTCCCATTATCAATAATGTACGAAAGTAAATTTTACTATTAGTATTTTTTGGGTCTTTCGGCAAAGCCACGTAGCTAGAAAGAGAATAATAAAAAATAAAAATATCACGACGTTTCGATCGCAACACAAGTAATCGTCATCAGGTGAAAAACTATAGCGGGAGCGCTGCTGAGGCAGGATGTTATAGAGGTTTGAGATGGGTGTAGCCCAAGGGTAAGTGGGCGGGGCTAGAGATTAAATTTGCGTGTAAATGTAAGATCGGAGAGCTGAGCTACCTCCACGACTACGAAGCCGTGGAGGTGGCCATTGTATTGTGAGAGATTAGCATGTCAATCTGTTAATGTAAGATTAGCATCTTCTTGGTTCTTTCGGTAATAAAATATTTTATTATGTTTTATTTTTATTATTTTATTACTTCCCTTCTACGTGACTTTACCGAAAGAACCAAGAAGATGAATCCCTGCAGTCACGAAAGCTTTAAATCGAAATTTAAGATTAGCATGTCAATGTAAGAGAACCACCGCAATGGTGGCTGTGTTAATGAGACATTTAGCCTGTTAATGTAAGATTAGCATGTCAATGTAAGAGAACCACCGCAATGGTGGCTGTGTTAGTGAGACATTTAGCCTGTTAATGTAAGATTAGCATGTCAATGTAAGAGAACCACCACAACAGTGGCTGTGTTAGTGAGACATTTAGCCTGTTAATGTAAGATTAGCATGTCAATGTAGGAGAACCACCACAACGGTGGCTGTGTTAGTGAGACATTTAGCCTGTTAATGTAAGATTACCATGTCAATGTAAGAGAACCACCACAATGGTGGCTGTGTTAGTGAGACATTTAGCCTGTTAATGTAAAGACATTTAACCTGATAATGTAACTCTGAGAGTCGGAAATAACTGCTCACATCGACAGGTAAGATGGAAACATCACAGCCAGTTATGACTTAAACTGGTTAATAACGTCCTTCCATTTTGATTTAAAGCTTTCGTGACTGCAGGGATTCATCTTCTTGGTTCTTTCGGTAAAGTCACGTAGAAGGGAAGTAACAAAATAATATTTTTATTATTTTTTATTATTTTGTTACTTCCCTTCTACGTGACTTTACCGAAAGAAGAGGAACGTCCTTCCAATGATTGCTTAGTTTGTACCGATTTTCTCGGTTGATATTGTGTCTGTGTTTATATATCTGAATGACTTCATGAACGAATCTTTGTTGATAGCCTGTGGGTTTGCAGATTACCTTCGTCTTCGAAAAATCTATTTCGTGTGTGATCACAGCGTTAAAACAATGATCAGCCACGGCCGAGGTATTGGTCCTACCGTGTTTCAGATCTGCCTTATGTTCACGAACACGGTCCGAGACATGTTGCTTAGTTTCCCCAATGTAACTGCTGCCGCAGACACAGCTTAGTTTGTAGACGCCGGGGTATTGCATGTCAGGGATCACATCCTTCACAGATGGAATCAGATCACGAATTTTATGTACTGTGTTGAATCGAACCTGGATCTTGTGTTTGCTCATGATTTTGACAAGGTGATGGTTTTGATTGGGTCCTCAGATGTTTTGTCTCTCTCTCAAATTTAGCAATCTTTGGAAGAACGTAATCAACCAGGTAAGGTGCTGACTGTTGTGTTAGCCGACTCTGTGTTGGATTGCATTGTATTTCGAAGTTCACTAGGTTTGTTTTCTACCTGATGACGATTGCTTGTTTTGCAATCGAAACGTCGTATTATATTATTTAATTGATTTGGCCATCATGCGAGCAAAGAGCGTGAACCTTACAGTCATCATGGACCTCGTGCTATCGTTCTCCTACATGTCAGCTCTGCATGAATTCATACTTCTAAGCAATGTTCCTCACATCACTCACTGTGTTCCATCTGCTGCCGAGACTCATCCATGCATTTACTGCCTGTCGCCTTGAACATGACAAACTCCGTCCTCGACTGTCGTCCCAAATACCTCACACCTCCATATCCTCAAATGATTCATGCCTCATCCATGAACGAGACCGCATCACCCCAGTCCTAAGCTCACTCCACTAGGCTCAAAAGTCCAGTCGCGAGTCTATTGCAAGATCAACAGCGTTTTTTTACATGCTTTTATTTAACTCACTCTGTCTGTTGTTGTCGTTGTTGTCGTATCCTCAAATCTTGTAACTCAATTTTAACCCACTTCCCAATGTGGTATCGACTGCAAACTTCGTATACTTATGTCTTACTGATGCCAATACTATATTCTATCATAAGAAATAATACATCTATTTTTAAACAATATTTTTACACGCTTTCTATTAACTCACTCTGTTGTTGTGATATCCTCAAATCTTGTAACTCAATTTTAACCCACTTCACAATGTGGTATCGACTGCAAACTTCGTATACTATATTCTATCATAACAAAAAAAATAAACCATCTTTTTATATGTTATGTTTCGCCTTGTGTCTAAATGTCCACGCTAAACTGACGTTGGATGTAAATCACCACTGTCCTTTACGTTATGGCAAGCCTCGGGGCCACTTCCTGGAGTCGTGGAGTTCTGCCATTATTCGTCCGGTACATTTTATTAAAGCGTGTTTTGGAAATTAAGTATTTTTTAAATATTACTTAAGATTCTTCATGGACTTGTCCCAGCCCCTCTCATTTCACTGTCATTCACGCTCTCTCTCTCTTGATAAGCCCTTCTGGACAAAAAAAACCCTTAGCATATACTCAATGGGGGGGGGGGGGGGGTCAATCTTTCTATGCTGTTGCACGCAACGGCTGGAATCTCCCAGACCCCAACCATCCACGCGACCAACCCCTTGGCCTTCAGGCTCAAGATCTACCTTTTCCTCTCCTCATGAATTTTCAATTAAACCTTACTCTAAAATTATATCCAACACTCTTTCATCTACGTGATGCTCATGTTCAGCTTTTTGTAGGCCTCCGGATGCAGTTGAATTTCCACGCGATATACTGTACACCGACTGTGTACTTCCCACAAAGGTGCACCAACTTTATCGACCCTTGGAGCAGCTGACCAGGATGGACTGACTTGGTCGTGACCTCAAGTGTGAACTTCACCTCTTGACTACCCGAGATGATTATCACACGAGCGATTATACTATTAAGGGATTAAAGGATTAGACGATTCCCATCCACTCCATATTAGGTGCACGTGTATTTCGGCGAAGTGTACAGTGTGTACATCAACGCCGCCAGAGCAGCGTCGAGTTACATCGCGCGCCTCCATTCACACAGAAACCTCAAAGTACCATCGGTAACTTTGGATCGTCGTAAAAATTGCACATATTTGGTGCGAAAACCTTCGTGTTAAACTTAATATGCACACGCGTAAAGTATGCGGGTACGCGGACTGTCGCATTTGCTAGCGTGTGCTTGGGGCCTCCTGGTCGCCGCTGTCTCCCCGCTCTCGGGAAGCTTCCACGACAGCTGTTGCCACGGGACTCGGGGCTGCGCGATGAGAGCGTCACCTGGGTTGGAGCTTGCATTGGACGGGTTGATGGTGTTCCTCCCCTTGAACTGCGGCTTCACCATGGTGAGCTGCACGTGGAAGCACTGTACGCAACACGCGCACTACTGTACGCAACGCGCGAGTGACGTCACGCCCAGCCCCTACGAGGCGCGAGAGGGGGCTGAATAAAGGCCCCGTGACGCGATTTTAAAATGAACGGAGGCGCGTCAAGGAATCGCAAAGCAATTGCTCGCTCATTGCTGACTGGCAGAGCGGTCAGGGCGGGATGTGTGATGTCAGTAATTGGGAAATTATGGTTGTGTGAATGTTAATCATGTTCTAGATGGTAACTAGCCTGTTTGAACAATCTAGAACGTTAATACAGTAACATAAAAAACCTTGACGTGCATTGTTGCATATTTGAAATAATATTCACGTCAGGTTGTGTTTTGCTCCAAAGTTGGGTGAGGTATCTAACTATTTAAATACTTTTTCAAATGTGTCTGCTTGGGATCACTGTGAAGTTTATATTTGTAAACAAATCACCCGGAACGCCCCCGAACTCCTCGGATCGTGAGAGCTAAGCAGGCGCGGGCCTGTATATCGCCACAGGTGCTACAGGCTGCGGAGCCAGGGCTGTGGGCAGCAGGGGGCAGTGCAGCTACATCCATTGCACAGGACTGTACTTCTATGCTCCCCGCTCCCCCCAACTCGCACTGACCAGCGTGGCCAGTGTGTGGTCAAATACCTCCCTGACCCTAATCCAGCAGTGAGTGTGTCGACTGAACGCCGGTCACCTGCACCGTGTGCGCCACGTCGCTCGCGGCCGGGGGTCGGCGCTGGGAACCTGCCGATCACGGCTCGCTTCGTTGCCTCGACCCCGTCCCCCCCCCGCTCCCCGGCCCACAGGTGCACGGCCCTGACACGGGCGGAGCCTGCGGCGCTCCAGCGACACGGGGCTGGCAGATTGCTGGTGACAACTGCTCGTGTAGCTCTGTCACTTCTTACCGTTGCGCATGTCAACACGCGTGCGATTTCTTAAAACAACTGCTGCAGCATCTCACAACACACAGCCCTCGACATTACACTCACCAGTGCAGTGCTCGTATTTACAGTCTTATTAATGTATACATTGTTGTATATATTGTCAGCATTCGTGTGGATTTAAAACATTTACTGTAATTCTAGATTAGAAGTTTTCGTGACTGCAAGGGTCCATACTCTTTGTTTTTTTCGGTAAAGTCACGTAGAAAATAAATAAGTATATATTTATTTACAATATAAATAAATATATATAAATATATTTACTGTAATTGCCATGTTCAATGTGTATGACTATGCCAAAATTAGCTTTATATATTTAAAGATTTGCATGCATTATTTAATTGTTTCATTTAAAGTGTCAACATTGCCAGGAACATGGCTTTCAATCTGGGATCCTCACATCTCCACCCGAGGATTAGGCAGCAAACTGCCAAGAGTGCCACTCCAGGGCAAACGAAGAGTGATGCGTCAGCAAGGCTTTCACAAGAAGATCCCATCAAAACACTGCGACTTTTTCGTGCTTGGGTCACGCAGAAGCCAGTCAGCGAGCTCAGTGACAAGCGCCTCTGTCCTGGGGCAAGCCCACCCTGGGCAGGAGCAATGGGCGATGATTGTCCGTGGGATCACGCAGGCCTGCAGGCGTGAGCACCGTTAATAGGGCTTGCGGCATTTGTCGGGACTAAGATCCATCAGCCAATTCACGATTTAAGGGACTAAGATCCACCAGCCAATTCACGATTTAAGGGACTAAGATCCATCAGCCAATTCACGATTTAAGGGACTAAGATCCATCAGCCAATTCACGATTTAAGGGACTAAGATCCACCAGCCAATTCACAATTTAAGGGACTAAGCCCCAGTGAAAAGAGGTTTTTGCTTAAATTACAATCTGTGACCATGAGAGCTGATGCCGGACGTAAGTCACATGCTGCTGTTTTATTTACACGAGAATTAGCAAATTATCTAAATGTCAATAATTTAATACACAATAACGAAGCTTTATTAGATTCCGTGGCTTAGGGTAGACTGAGGTAACATTACAGTTTAAAACAAGACTGATGCCTTGGTTTGACTGTACAGTATATATTGTTTGCGCGTGAATGACAAATTAAATGCATTTGTACTGTATTCATTACACGAAAAAGTATTCTAGTAAGAGTTTTTACTTTGAAACTCACAGTTAAAATGCAATTACTATAAATTATTACAACAAATACTTCTTTACAAAAATTTAGTTAAAATTTGCGCTATCGTCAAACATTTAACTGCTGTTGATGTAATCACATTTTTAAAGTAAGGCATTTATAAAAAGCCATGAAAGTAGTTTTTATGGTAGGAGACAAAATAACCAAGTTTGAAAGGGATTTTTTGTTCATGAAAAACTGGTCACAGAACTGATATCGCAATACAGGAAAGGCATACCACAGCAAAGCTGGAGATTAGCTTAATGCATGCCCCAGGGAAGTGGTCAGCTGTTTAAGAAGAGAAATATTTGCAGAATTATCCCATTTCGACAGTTGAATCCCAAGTGACCCCACGTGAAGAGAACATAGTTGAGCCAGACACAATTTACAAGTCGCCCAAGGTAATTTCGAGTTATTTAATTTTCTATTATACCATAATTTTATCATCATTTAATACTGCTAACTCTTTATCTCTAACAGCTGAATAATTATAACAGCGATTTAGAATGTATTCCCTGAAATATGTTAGTGTAAATTTCGATCTAAAGCTTTCGTGACTGCAGGGATTCATCTTCTTGGTTCTTTCGGTAAAGTCACGTAGAAGGGAAATAGTAAAATAATTAAAATAAAACAAAATTCTCACGACGTTTCGGCCACAACGCAAGCAGCCGTCCTCAGGTGAAGAACAGGTCTGTCGGAAAGACAGCGTCTGAACACTATGTTAGTGTACTTTACTAAATATGGAGGTTTCATAGCCAATACAAAAATACGCATCATTTTTTGGGTTGAATCACATTGTGTTTTTCTGCCAAAATTATTGTCATTAACCACCACCCAGCAAGATTGTCATTATACGTGTCTGGGTATTGATAAAATTATGACCAATAAAGATCTCTAGTTCAAGTTCATGTATTAGGCATAGCCCTGTGAGCCATTCGGCTCTTGAATCGGGTGCAACCGCAACAAACAAAAAACAAAAACATGAACAAAAAACATCTTAAAGTGAATATGTGACTGAGTGCAAACAGAAAATACAAGAAAAGACAGTAAAATGTTGCAGAAAAAGCACCGTACACAAAAATGTGCAAAAATCCCAGTGGGATGCAAATCAAACAACAACAACCACAATACAACTTAGATTAAGGCCATCAGTCTAACTCTGTACTACAACAAACAAACATGGCCAAACCAAAAAACTTATCGAAAATCACCAAAATAAAGCCATAAAAGCAATGAAACAGTCGTTATAGGCACTGTGACCGAATTTTCACAATGAACGACGTAAACAACATGTACTACCAAACTATGCAGCCGTAGCTGGCTGCATGAGTCACTCCACAACATTAGGAGCATCAGTCGGAGTATCAACATTTTTCAATGCACCTTTAAGATCAGCACACTAAATCAAAACACAGATCATACTTTGCAGCGATCATCCGGAGCGAAACATTGTATTTTAGGCCACTGAATAGCACTGGCAGCTAGGGGTGTACAACTCCTCTCGAGCAGTTTTGAGTGAAGATCTCATAGGTAGTGATTCAAGTTACAGTTTATTGGCAATAGCATTCCAGACCCTGGGGGCATCAATAGCAAAGACCCTTCCTCCAGTATTTGTATGGCAATCGGGAATGCGAAGCTGGTAAATGAGCGAAGACCTTAGGTCAAATTTGTTCTTTGAAACAGAGAGGAGATCCAGCAGGTAATCTGCGGATTTTTTTGTAAGTACATCATGAATAAATAAGATCTGATGCACAAGCCGTCGAACATTGAGAGATGTTAAGTTTGACCCAATGTAGAGATCACAGTGGTGAGTCCTATATGGGCAGTTCAATGCAAATCTTTAGGCCGAGTGATACATTGAGTCAAGCTTCTTCAGTACAGTACTTGGGGCTGATTTATACACGATGTCACAGTAATCAAGTAGAGGCAGTATGGTAGCTTTTATCAATTCCAAACGGAACATAGGGGGGAAGCAGTGCTTGTGTCGATACAGAAAACCAATTTTTTTGTCTCGTTACCAATATAATCAATGTGATCTTCAAATTTCAGTTTTGAATCAAGAATGACCCCAAGATACTTATAGATCTTGACTTGCTCTATTTGATAATTATTTATTGAATGTAATTGGGGAAAAATAACTTCCTGCTTTATTCCTGGTGAGAAGCATAGCACCTCGGTTTTGGAGGTATTCAGGACTAGTTTAAGAGCAACTAGCTGATGTTGTAGTTTGTTGAAATCACCCTGGAGCTTAGCAATCACGTCATCCGGAGAGCGGCCAGCAGTAATCAGTATCGTGTCATCTGCAAAAAGATTTACCCTGGAATGATCCAGGTCAGTGCCCAATTCATTGACATAAAGAGAGAACAAGAGGGGGCCGAGGATTGAACCCTGTGGAACCCCTTTTGTTATCTTAACACTGTTTGACCTCCAACCATCTATGAATACAGTTTGGGTGCGAGAAGAGAGGTGATCTTTTAACCATTCCACTGCGTGTTTGGAGAAACGGAGGCAACTTAGTTTACTAAGCAGGGTGTTATGGTCGACTGTATCAAAGGCTTTGGACAAGTCAAGAAAAAGACTGGTGCAGTACTGCTTATTATCAAGGCTACTGTAAATGTGATTCAGAGAGTCTAATGCAGCAGATGTGGTGCTGTACTTTTTTCGGAACCCAGATTGTTTTCGATGTAATAGATTGTTGTCGGACAGGAAACTGCTAATTTGGTAGTTCAATAATTTTTCAAAAAATGTCATCACCGGGGACAAAATTGAGATAGGTCGGTAGTTATTTGGATCATCTTTAGGGCCCCCTTTGTGAAGTGGACGAACATATGAATGTTTCCATTCTAGAGGTATTGATGCTTCTTTGATGGACAGGTTGAAAATATGGGCTATAGGTTTATATATTAGGTGACCAACAGTTAGCAGAGCAAAGACGGGAATACTATCTGCT